TTTCACAGTTCTCACTGTGAGAGCTCACCTACCTGCTATAATGACTGTCAACCTCCTGTGTAGTAAAGCTTTTTTTTTTATAAGTATACTATACCTCCCAACATTCTAGAAATGCAAATGGTTCTTACAGATCTTGCTACTTTAAAATTAGATTTTGCATTCATATTGTAATGTGTGTGGATGACTTTAGAACTTTGGAAACTAAATTGTGGGGTCAATGTACTGTGCATGCTAGTGCTACATACAGTTTGAACAAATTTGATATCAAACCATAACTAGTAATTATTTTATAAAGAGCCAGTAACCCCCTAATCCATGTGATTTTTTTAAATAGCAGGACAAACCAAACTCACATCTAGACTGATTGATTAGAACACTCTAGTCATTTATTGAAACACCAGACTCTCATTACCTTCTTTTCGTAACGTCATGATACTAGACGTTCCGAACTTTTTCAGCTTTACCATCGCTGACCTATTCTGTTCAAGTGTTAAATGTTGAGTTCCCTATTATAAATAAAGTTGTTTTTATTATCACTTTCAGTTGGATTTAGATTAATGTGCTGACCAAATGGAAATGTGAATATCGTCATGTGTACATATGACCTGTTAGAAGCCATTTTATCAGGAAATCAAAATAATTCTCATGGTTTCAGAGACACTTCAAGAGACAAATATTCTAAACTCTGTAGTACTGTCAATAAAAATTACATACAATTGTGAGCTATATGAATTCAATTAGTCATTAATATGATCATTTTGTCATTGATCCAGGTTGTTGTCAGTGAAGATTCGGATGGTGAAGGCATTGTCGCTCATTTTCCTGCACATGAAAAGCCAATTTGTTGTATGGCGTTTAATCCCAGTGGTAAGTGTTTGCAAATAGATTCCCTAAGGCCCCATTTACACCTGAGTGTTCTAGCTTGATGATCCAAAACGCTCAACGACCAATATCCCATGGTTTTCAGTTGTCATTATGTGGCCCTATATAAACATCTTTCTGTGCTGATAGCTCGCTCCCTGCGTACTTCCAACACAGTTACTGTCGGGTACCAGAAAGTTTCCGATGCGATTGGGAGCTTTCAGATCATTTGACCACTGTGACTGCCAGTCCTGGGGACACCCAGGAACTGTCCAAGCAGGTTAATCCTGTACTTTTATTTAGCAAGGCAGTTCAATGCAAGAGGGTTTTGTACAGCAATCCAAAGCATAACCTGTAGCATATAACAAAACAAAATATCTGCTTATTAAAGCCACTAACCAAACTAACTACCTAAACATTCCCAAAACAAACAGGCAGCAGGTGTACCTATTTAGTGTTTTGTCAGCAGTCAGCCTTTTCATTCAGCAGCAGGATCTCACAGCAGAGAGAGTGAGAGACCCTTGAGCCTCAGTCAGTTGACATATAAAAAGGCAACTGAACAGCTGACTAATAAGAGATGTCTGGCAATGTGGACCTAGCACAATAGTGTTTGTCCCATCCAAACCTCCACAAAACCTCTCCAGGACCCAGATCAGAACTTATTAAGCTCTGGGAAAACAAAAAAAGTTTGTTTTCTCCATAACAGACACCAATTTTTGAGCCCTCACCATGTGCATATGAGAAACTTACACCCTCCACAACCCTGCCTATCTGCCTCACAAGTGTTACCGAACTACCTACATTAGACAACTTTCCATTAGCTTCACAAGATGAGATTAGTATATAGAAGCAGGTGATCAGGTAGACTTTTCAAAGCTGAGTACCTGTTGGATGACTGCTAAAAACAACATGAGAGAGATTAGAAAGTTTCGAAAGCCATGTGTGGCTAGTGAACCATTGGCTAGAGACTTCCGCTTTAAATCAGATACATAAAGTAACACAGCTTGGAGAGACATGCTAAGATTTGCACTCATTTATTTTCCTTGTTAATAACTTCTTATCATTTTGTAGCATAAAATTCCTTTTTTTGGGGGGTGCAATTAGCAAATAATAGACCACACACACGGTCTGAAAGAAATACGAACAGCTGTAAATACTCATAGCATGGTATATGATTCTCAGAAATATAAAAGTCTCTCCTCTCCGTAGTGTCTGCATTACATTTGAAGAGTTGGGTTGGTTTTACCAGTGTAGCATGTTTCAAGTGTTGCCATAGTTGCTGGATGCTTCATTGATAAAGCTGTTAAGGTGAATCTTTTCCCAGTCACTTTAGAGTCATGGGTCACCAGCACCTAGACACTTTGTAAACTTAGAAAACCACAGGGAGGAATTTATTTACTTATCAGATGTGAAAGTTTTGTAAGTGGGTGAGCTTCATCCCGTTAATTGACCATGTCTGAGTGAAAGTCTCATCCTCATTTATCATTGGATTTTGTACAGAGCAGTCTCTGTGATTAACGGTCTTGTGGTCAGTGAACAGACTTTGCAGTTAACAGCTAACTACAGCTCTTAATGAATAAGCAGTAATATTAATTAGAGAAAGCCATACATTAGTGAGCTACAATAAAATCAAAGCTTTTATAAACCTCAAACTTGTGAAACATTTATTTTTTTCCGTTTTCTTTAGTATTAAGTAATAGCCTTTTCTTCAGATAGCCCTTCCATATTTTCTTTGCTTTTACTACAGCAGTGCAGATGTATAGGTGTCACAGCTTCCAACCTCCCAAACGAAGCCAGATTCTGGACTGTTACACAGTTATATCCAGTATTTGAAGGCCCCATTCATACACTACAAGTTGTGTGCATCTGTGTCATTAGAGAAGCTTTTCTGCCTTTTTTTTCTAGCACCTTTATGACTTTGATGGCACTCATCTTGTCATGTATTTTCTGGGATGCTTTACATTCAAGAAACTGCAGATAAATATACTTAGGTTAACAAATGAACAAAGTATTTTTGTTTGACAAATTCTGATACAAGCTTGAGCTGGTTTATTAGAACTGGAGGAGCTAGAAAAGTGGAGTTGTTGCCTCTAAAAACTCGTGTTTGGTTTTAATGGGTAACATCTCTGTTAAATGAGTATCTACCCAATGTTCAATGTGATTATATTATTATTATAGGTACTTATATAGCGCCATCAATTTATGCAGCACTTTACATATATATATTGTACATTCACATCAGTCCCTAACCCTCAAGGGGCGTACAATCTAAGGTCCCTAACTCACATTCATACATTCACATACTAGATTAGTAGCTGAAGGTTGTTGCTTTCCTAGTATAGTGTATTTTATACTGACTTACATGACCTTAAAGTGGTTCTAAAGGCAGAAAGTTTTTTCTGTCTTAATGCATTCTGTGCATTAAGTTAACCACCTGCCCTCCAGAGGATTTTACCCCCCTTCCTGACCAGTCCATTTTTTGCTAAACCTTCTGTGTGCAGCTCCCCCAGCTCCCCCAGCCCCCCCCCCCCCATACTTATTTGAGTCCGATCTAGATCTAGTACTGTGCATGAGAACAGCAGCTCTCTCCCTCCTCATAAGCTCAAAGACAGCAGCGGAAGCCATTGTTTATGTTTTATGTTTGTTTACTTTAATCAGCAAGGGGTTGCAAATGGCAGGGACCCATAAGGGCTGGTTAACATTAAAGTGCGTTAGTACATGCTTCTGATGCATGTACTTGCAAGTGGAATGTGTTTTTGTTGGGCAGAGTTATCTTGCATAGTGTATTGTACTTATTTCCTGTAATATCACTTCCTTCGTTGCTGATTGAGATTAGCATAGAAAAACAACACAGCAGTAAAATGGAGGCAGGAAGGGGAACGTTGTGGTGGGGTGTGTCGTATGGCGTTGGTACAGCGATGCAATGCGCAGTAATGATCCATGCATCAATTTGGCGCAAAACAGCGCAGCACAAAGGTGTTGACAACACCAACTGCTGCCAATGTTATTTCTCTGGATATTGCATTCTGGTTGCAATTGGCAGTGCTGCCCAGTGCACCACAACAGATTTGGTGTAAAGCCTGTTTGAAATAATGAATCTGACCTCTTTTTATCTAAACTGGAATGTGGTTCCTGTGGGTTACTACACCTGGTTCGTGATAATGACACTCAGCGCTTCTTATTAAAGTAGAACTATAGGCAAAAATGTTGTTTTCCATTTTGGATATAGTGAAGGAGGGTTAGAACCCCTGTCAGATATTTATTTTGCCATCTGTGTCCCATTGGGGAGATTTCCCTTCACTTCCTTTCTCATAGCCAAAACAGAACGTGAGAGGAAATCCCTCTAAAGTGAGGAACTCCCTAGTTGTTACCAGGGTTGCCAGAAGTAGTGTCTCTATTGGAAGATTTCCCTTCTATTTCTGTTCTGATGACAATCCAAAATTTGTGATATTCTTTTGCTTTCACTTTCAATGACAGTGGTAAACAGGAGAAAACGAGAGGGTGAATCTCCCTAATGAGGACACAGACAGCAATAAAAACCTGTTAGGTGTTCTAATCCATCACTCCCTATCCAAAATGAAATAAAGCTTTGCCTTTATTTATACCGTACATAAACTTGTATATCTAATTTTTTTTGTACTTCATTACTGTAATTTGTACAACATATATTATTATAGTATAATTATGGTGCAAAAAGGTTTGAATACACTATCCACATATGGCCCCCTAAAATATATATTAAAAAATACTAATGGAGAAAGGTAAACAAAAATGAGGTACAGTCTATTAATAGTTCTCTTGGATTAAATAAAAGTCCACTTATGTAACCTAGAGTTCATGAAATCTCATTGGGTAGGTAAATATTACACTCTAGTAGGCAGCTCCACCTGAGACAGGAACAGATATCTGGACACACAAAAAAGGAGCACAAGGGGGTGCTAAGTAAGTGCAGTATCAATGAGTATTTTAACCACCTCCCGCCCGCCATATAGTCCAATGACGGGCGCAAGGTGGTTCTCTCGTTCTGGGAGGATGCTCAGGGAGCGCACAGCACGGCGATTGGCAGTGCGCTGTGTCCCTCGGACACAGCGGATCACCGATCATGGAAAGAGCCGAAGATGTCGGCTCGGTCATGTGATCAGCTGTGTCCAATCACAGCTGATCGCATGTAAACAGGAAATGCCGGTTATCAGCATTTCTCTCCTCTCGAGCTGTCACGCTGACAGCTCGAGAGGAGAGCCGGTAATTGGCTTTCAGCAGAGGGGACATGTACACTGATCATCAGGGCACTGATCATCAGCAGTGCCACCTGTCAGTTTCCATCAGTGCCTTGTGTCAGTGCTCATCAGTGCCTTGTGCCAGTGCCCATCAGTGCCACATCAATGCCACATATCAGTGCCTACCAGTGCACATCAATGCCACATATCAGTGCCCATCTGAGCTGCCTTTCAGTGTCACCCGTCTGTGCCAGTCAGTGCCACCTATCAATGCCAATCAGTGCCACCTATCAGTGCTGCCAATCAGTGCCACCTATCAGTGCCACCATCAGTGCCAGTCAGTGCGCATCAGTGCTGGTCAGTGCTGTCTATCAGTGCCAGTCAGTGCCGTCTAACAGTGCCAGTCAGTGCCGCCTATCAGTGTCAGTCAGTGCCTCCTATAGTGCCATCAGTGCCGCCTATCAGTGCCATATATCAGTGCCATGTATCAGTGCTGCCTTTCAGTGCCCATCAGTGATGCCTGTCAATGCCCATCAGTGCCACCTACCAGTGCCACCTATCAGTGCCCATCAGTGCAGCCTATCAGTGACCATCACTGCAGCCTCATTAGCGCATATCAGTGAAGGAGAAAAATCACTTATTTACAAAATTTTATAACAAAAACTAAGAAAAAACTTTTTTTTTCAAAATTTTCAGTGGTTTTTGGTTTATTTAAATAAAAAAAATAAAAAACCCAGAGGTGATTAAATACCACCAAAAGAAATCTCTATCTGTCACAAAAAATGATAAAAATGTCATATGGGTACAATGTTGCATGACCGTGCAATTTTCATTCAAAGTGCGACAGCGCTGAAAGCTGGAAATTGGCCTGGGCAGGAAGGGGGTATAAGTGCCCTTTAGGCTAGTGGTTAAGCGAAATGCAAACTCACAAGAACACAAGTAAAAATGGCTTAACTGCAGCCATATGTAATGTGCTGGAGAGCAGTCCTCCCAGAGGAACCGCATGTAGCGTCCAGCAGCGTGCTGTCTAGCACATTACACATGGCTGCAGATACGTTCTGTTTACTTTTGTTCTTCTGAGTTTGCATTTGGCTTTTTAATACTATTAAAAATAGTCACTGGCACTGCACTTAGTTGGCACCCACTTGTGTTCTTTTTTTGTATTACTATATTGTGTTCCTACTATTTTTGTTTTATTTGTTGGAATGCAAATATGTTCTAATCCTAAAATAAATGAAAATGTGAGTAGCACTTCTACATGAATTTATTTCCTATCAAGTGTTAATAAAAATCATATTCTTAATAATAGAAAGTATATGCCATTCTAAAAATGCATATCTTTACTGTATTAACAAGCCATAAATGCAGAAATGACTGGTTTCATTTTTTTTTTTAAGGCAATATTAAAACTTAATCTCCAGGGGGCAGCATTAGTTAAATAGTTTGGTGTCTTACATGTTACAGTTAAGCAAAGTTTAACTTAGACCATCAGCTGTGTCTCAAGTATGTCTATATTATACACTACAGTTTTCAAAATGAAATGCCCTGTATTACTTGCTTGAGTAAAGGCACAGCTTTAAGTACTTTACACTGAAATGTTTGGCAATGCTTATTTATGGTTCATTATGCCTTTTTCCAGTGACCCAGCAGTGCCCTGGCGTCATGGAAGGCAGACACCCAGCACTGATTGCCCTTGTGTGGTTTATTAAGATCTACAGGATTGTAGTCCTGTGAGAGCTGCAGCTTTTTACCCAAGTGTCAGTAAGAGGAAAACTCATTTAGCCCAAGCATTAGTAGTTTTGTTGCTTTAGTTTTAGTCTCATAACTCTCATATATGGATTTTTCCTCATTGTTTCGGTAGATGTTAACTGTTCCAGAAAATATGCAAATTGAAATCCTATAATAAAAACATTTTAAAACATTAAAGCATGTGTAAACTTAATCACTAACACATCATAGGTGCTTTACATGCTAATATAATTTCAGAGTCATATTCAATATTTTTAAATCTTAGCTTTCATTAAAATAATGCCTTGTTTAGACACTTCCGGTTAAGTAGGACTAAGCTATTTCGGTCTCCCAATTGTGCTCCAGTGTTGACACCCTGTCATAAGGGTTCCCTAATAAGACTGCAGTGACCATTTCAACACATCTTACTCAAGCATGATCAACTGTTATCACCATCAAGAATCTGCCCAGGGAATCTCCATGCAGCCCACACTACAGGAGATCAGGATTTTTTTTGCATTAATAAAAATGGCAATTTTCATGATTCATTGTGCTTTAGCAAAGTAAATTACATTCAGGTATAGCAAGTAGTAGTTAGTCACATTCAACTGGACTTCTGTAATGTTGAAGACAGTTTATAGTTTCTCCAAGCCACTTCTTCAGTGCCAATGAGCATTAGGAAGAAACCACAGCATTTAAATCCACACAAGTAGCACACACAGCTTAATCCAGCCACCATGATTGTCCAAAAACAGGATGTGAGGTGTGAATGTTATGAAACCACCCTATTCTAGTTACATTATTATTAATATACAGTATTTATATAGCGCCAAAAAGTTTGCTCAGCGCTGTACAGAGTAGTGGGGGACAGTACATGAGACAATACAGTAACAAAACAGTATAGGAGGGGTTCAAGGGCCCTGCTCTTTCAAGCTTACATAATCTATCCATGGTGTCAGAAAGTTAGCATAGGTGTTTTTTTTCTCTATTTACATGGTTAAAGGTGTTAATTGGTATCAAGTCAATGTTGATCAGATGGCATTTTATCTGGAAGACAGTTTCAAAGGCTCCCAGCCCTGTTCAAGGATGGTTGTTCCAGTTTGATGTAGATGGCCTCCTCTACACCTCCAGTGGTTTTGGATTTGCATATTAGAATAAATGGCTCTATAATACTGTATTAGGCTATGTTTGATCTTTACACAAGCGGTTCTAGATGTGCATTTGTCCAGTGAGGGATTTAAGCAGTAATTTTGCATGGCTGCACTCACTGTCCAGAAATGAGGAGTAATCATCTTATTTTTAGTATTTGTGATATGTGATCAGACAATAATGGAGGGTGGAAAGGGGATAGATGGGGGGAGGGTTATGACAGGTGATAAGAAGGTTCCCATGTTACAAACAACCATTGGAAATTATAGTACTATTTGTACTACTAAAAAAGATATGCAAAACACAAGAGCAAAATATGATAATGAATTAAAGTGTTTGTTCACCAATGCCAGAAGTTTGCCAAGCAAAATAGGTGAGTTGGAAGCTTTGGTGCATGAAGAGAACTATTGGTATTTCTGAATCTTTTTTTCATTCCTCACATGACTGGGCTATTAATATTCCAGAATATGTTCTCTTTCAGAGAGAAAGGGAAAAAAACGTAAAGGTGGCCTTGTCTGTCTCTATGTGAGAAGTGATCTCAAATTGAGTGGGAAAGAGGACCTGGTTGATGGAGAGTATGATGAGGCTGAAGTGTTATGGATGGAACTGCGTATGGATTTGTATAGTTCAAAGTTAATCACTGGAGTTTGTTACAGACCACCCAGTGTTAGTGAGGAGGAGGAGACTCCGCTCCTTACACAGATGGTAAGGGCTGGGACAGAGATAGTAGTAGGGTTTTAACTGCCCTGATGTTAATTGGAGTAATGGCACTTCTAGAACAGTTAAAGGGCAAAAATGTATATACCAATTACAAGACAATTTTATGGTACAGTTCATAGAGGCCCTGACTAGGAATGATGCTCTGCTGGACCTGGTAATCTCAAACCATGCAGAGTTTATTACTAATGTTCATATAAAAGAATATCTGGGTAATAGTGCCCATAGCATGATTTCATTTAATGTTAGCTGTAAACAACAAACACATACTGGAAAGATAAAACACAACTTTAGAGAGCAGATTTTCCAAGGATGAGGGCTGCTCTCCAAGACTTAGATTGGGAAGGAATATTGGCATGGAAGAACACAGAACACAAGTGGGAATTCTTCAAAAAGGCTGTATGGAACACACTGCAAAATATATTCCCATGGGCAATAAGTATAAAAGGCTAAAAATAAAACCTATGTGGCTCATGTCCAAAGTTAAAAAAGTTATAAATAATGAGAAAAGAGCTTTTAAAAAATATAAAAATGGAGGAACACTATCATCGTTTAAATGTTACGAAGATTATAAAAGAATATGTGAAAAGGAAATCAAAGACGCAAAAATTCAAAACAAATGACAGATTACAAAAAAAGGAAAACAACCCCCCCCAAAATTTTTCAACCATGTTAATAAGAAACAGGTCAGTTCTGAGTATGTAGGCCCTTTACAGAATAATCTACATTGGGTGACTGGGTACAAAGAAAAGGCAATATTTATTAAATATCTTCTTGAGCTCTGTGTATACAAAGGAGAATGAGGGTGCTCATGTCCATAATTGGGATAATATTGACACAGCTCCAGATGTTCCACATTGGCTCAAAATTGATATGGTCTAGAAATATTTAGACAGAATAAAGGTGAATAAAGCACCTCGACCTGATGGCATACACCCTCAGGTCCTAAAAGAATTGAGCTCTGTCATTTCAAAGCCATTGTTTCCTAATTTTTAGGAACTCTTTAATGACTGGCATAGTACCACAGGATTGGCGTAAAGCCAATGTGGTGCCTATATTTAAAAAGGGGTCAAAGTTGAGAAGATACTGGAGAGTTTTTAATAAAAGACCACACAGATGGGTTCTGTCGGAGATCGTCGCGCCGCTGGTCCCGGCGCAGGCGCAGTACACCTCCCTGTACGCGAGCGCCGGGACTTGGCCGACCGCGGCAATCAGGTTCGCGCATGCGCAGTAGTGACCGCGGGCGCGCGCCTGGCACCAATGACAGCGCAGGGCGGGATATTTTAAACGGCCCTGAGCTGTCATTCAGTGCCTTTTGGTCTTTTGTATCCTGTGAACCTGTGAACCTGTCTGAAGTAAGTTGCTGACCCGGATTGTGCCCTGACCTTGCTGTTTTCTCCTGTTTTGACCCTTGCTTGCCTGACCTCTCTCCTGAATGCCCCCTATTGGATCTGACCTGCTGTTGCTGACCTGGCGTGTGACCCGACTATTCTCTGCCCGCTGCTCTGTACCGCACCGTCCCCATAGTTACCGACCCGGCTTGTATGACCCTGCTCCTGCTCAGCCATCCATCCATCCATCCGTCCCTCTCTACGGGGTCTCCAGACCTCCTCATACCTGGCTCTCTCCCGTGGGAGCCCCTGGCGAATACCCCTACCACTGACGGGTGTCCTCAGTAGTCACGACCTGGTCCTAGGGTACTCCAAGTCCATCCCCACCATCAGGGGCCCTGGTGAACAAGTACCCTGGGGCTTAGACTCCGTGCGCTGGGAACATCCGACCAGTGGAGTGCTAGTGGTACCGCCGGGCGGTCCTTTACAGTACCAAAAGGCCATGACTGAGCCTAGAGGAGGGCCCTCCCCGTTAGAGGAAATTTGCAGGCACCTAGCTAATTTGACGCAGGCCGTAACGGTCCTGCAGGACAGATGCATGCAGCTGGAGAATCGCATCCAGACTGGCTCTATTTCTGATCCTGCCCCACAGGCCCCGGTTTCTGCACCCCCGGCCCTTGTAGCTCAGGAGCCAGTCTCAGGGGCTTCTGCCCCGCTCCCTATGGTAGAACCCCGAGTACCCCTACCGGAGCGTTTTCACGGGGACCGCACACGCTTCCGGTCATTTCGCGACTCCTGTC